CTGGCTATTTTCTGGACCACTCTGACGATACACATTTGGGCTACAGTTTTGCAAGAAGACCAGTTTTCCCCCAACTCATCTTTTCTGTTCACTCTAAGACAGCTTTCCCCGGCTCTGGGATAAGAGGAATGGGTTTAGTTCTGGTATGTGCTGTCCTGAAGATGTGTCCCTTAGGGTCCCAGATTTGTGTAGAGGATCTCTGATTAGATGCCCTACCTCATTGTGCTTTAGGCTTTGATTCTTTAGCTCCATGAGTCTTTTAAACCACAGTTCAATTTCAACAAATTCAGCAAATGCCCTCAGGGCTAAACTGGCTTCCTCTACTCAGTTTCTCTCTCTGAGTTTTTAGATTTGGCATAGTGCATCCTTACTTTCTTCACAGCTCTTCACATCATTTTAAAATCATGAATCTTTTTTCTTTTGATATTTTATTCATTATTTTAGTTGTTTTCAGTGGAAAGCCTTATTACATAAAGTAAGGTGAGTCTTCCCCACTCTGCACTTGCATTTCCTTTTATACCAGAGGGGAGAATAAATGTACTCCTGCCTATACCAGCGTATGAATTGAATCATTGTGTTTTGAAAGCTGTAGGGCTCCAGACAAGTACCACTGTCATTAATTTTCCACCCCCCAGCCATCTGTCTACATTCAATATGTTCCGTGGATTCCTGTTCTTCTACCAGTCTTTAAATGTTAGTGCTCCTCAGTTGTCTACCAATGGACTTTTAAAAAATACTTTTTCTTGGTGGTCTCATCCTTTCCTAAGTTTGGGTTACTTTTCTACCTCTATCTTCTGAGCTCTCAGCCCATATTCCCTCAACATACCAAATTTATCACACATATCCCTGTGTCAAAATCTTCTTTCTCTTTTTCTCCTTCCCTGGCCTTGGCAACTGGCCCCACTCTCCACCTGCTAAATAACTGTTGAAGCTAGAGATCCACATAAACTCTACCTCTCTCACTCCACACATGCATTCTGTCACCAGATGCTGTGAACTGTACTTCTGAAATGTTTCTTGAGCCTATTCATTTCTGTCATTCTCTTGTTTGGTCTGAGTTTCTAGTTTTTTGCTTCCCAACCCTTTCTCCTTACCCCACCCAGAGTAATCTTTCTAACACATGGCTAACACTAACAGAACACATGACTTTCTAACACATGACTAACAGAACACATGACTAACACTGCCCTACCTAAACTCCTTCAGCGGCCTCCCAATACTCTAATAATAAACTCCATTAACATTGCTTCCAAGGCTTTTCATGGTCCAACTCTGCCTCCTTTTCCATCTTATTTTCTCTTCATTTTTTCCATCTCACAATGTGCCTCTTCTGTTCTGACCTGTTTGCATCTCTATTTCTCGGCTGTTGTCTCTGTCTTAGTGAGTTAAGGGAATCATATTTGAACTAGATTGTTCTGTTACTTGTTTTGAGCTGACCTCTGCTACTCTGGCTCTTCCATAGTCCTGTTCCCTTTCAATGGACCACACAAGTCAGCATTCTCAGATCTCAGCAGCACAGAGCAGAGGGGAATTGTTACCCCTGTTCTTCTATTCAGTATTCCTACTAATGCCTAAAAGAGCACTACTTTTTTACCGGCCATGTTATAAGTACTGTTTTACACAAGTAGTCTGGTAAGCCATGTCTCCCTCATCCTGTGTTTGCTTAGTGGGTTTTCTGTATCTTTTTAAAAAAATTTCTATAATTTAATATGCTAAAATTAAGGACATAAGCAAGCAAGGGGATGAGAAGTACACATAAGAAAAGTAATTTCATGATTTCCTTCATTTTGATTCTAGTGCTTTCTTGTTTTCAGGAGGAAAGATCTTCAAAAGTAACAAAATACTTGAGAAGAGAATTTACATCTTCCAGTTTTAAATGGTATTCTTGTACTATTTTCTCAGCAGTCCATGTTTCTGGATGAAGTTTATGATTACTGAGAAGTGTCAAGGCCTCTACAATGGAAATCTTGCCCCTGGAAATGTTCTTAATATCCATACCAAAGTGATGGCCCTTTGGCAATCTTGATTCCTTTGTCTCTTGCCATGTTTCAGAATCTTTTACCCACAGAGGTGATACAGGATCTTTGGAATCAACATATACATCTTTCAGTAATGACAGCAGCTCGTCATTTTTCCTACCAATTTCTCTCTTAATTTCCAGACGGTCGCTCATCTGCTCTCGCAGGACGCTGCCGGGTGGACGGGTGCCTCGGGGCCGCAGACGGCTTCGTCTTGCTGATTTCCCGTTCTGTTCGGTTCTCTAAGTTGAATTCCTAATCGCTCGAGCCACCGCAGCCCCCATGCTCTCTATAACATGATGCATTCAGGTTCTCCAGTTTTCTGTATCTTAATACAGAAGCTGATTGACATTTGAACTAACATACAGTTAGTTTAGTCTATTATGAAGTATTTTTGGCCTAAGCCAAAATCTTACAAGGTAAAGTAGAAGAAACCTTTTACAGTGTAGATAGAGGATCTGGTCTCAGAGATGGTCAATGGTAACTAGAAGTCACACAGCAAGCAAAGTACCAGCCGCACCAGAGCCAGAGCCAGAGTTCAGGACTCCTGCTTGCCAGTCCCATGCTTATATAACACAAAAATTTCCAGCACTGAATCCAAACACTGGGCATATTTTTAGCTCATAAAAACATTGTTAGACCTATCAGGTTTTAAATGGTATTAATTCCATTTGCTGAAAGAAGGGCTAATAAAAACAGTACCACTCTGAACAGCTGGAAACCTTGGTTATCCACCCCTCATGGATTTTGCTGTTTTAAAGAGCTTTTCTCACGAGGCTCTGGGAAGGGCTTCACAGGAAAGTCTCTGGTGCTAGTGGCTGGCTTCTCATGGTCCCTCTTTTAAGACTTCTATTTTACAAACAAAAATGAAACTTTCCTATGTTATTATTAGGACTGAAATTTAAAAAGACAAAGTAATATAACTTGTCACAGAGACAAGACAAAGCCAGCTTCTCTGTGGTGGAGCTTAAGGGGAACATTTTGCAGGCTTATCTCTGAGCTGTTTCATATTTCATTGGTGTAAAATAGAGATTGGCCAACTACTTATAAATCAGCAGAGCTTCAGGGTACCATTTTGTTCTTGCTCTAAAGTAGAAATTAAAAATTCAGTGTGTATAAGTTAGTCTTTCTAGGTAGGGGTATAAAAGTCATCTGTGACTTTGAAATACCATGAACCGAATGCCTCTTGCCTTCTTTGTTGGAGTGTTTCTGGTCTTTGGATGTCACACATATGCCCCACCCTGCTGCCAGGGCTTTTTATGCAATTTCATCTGCTTTGTCCCCTTTTTTAGTAGTTGTCATCTACAGAACTCTGTCAGTTTTACAGTAAGCAGAAAAAGGGGGGATTCATTTAGGAACATTTAGAAATTTCACAGCCACAACTTAGAGACACACTGCACATTTCTCCACTCAGCTGGGCTGCATGTGTCTCTTTGGGCCCCATGGGAGGAAACATGGGTGCCCAGAGCTTCTAATTATGTTCCTGATTCAGCAACAAAGAGGCTGTTCTTTTCTTCTTTCACAGTGGTTAAAAACATAGCCGATTTCTTCTCACTCTTAAAGGTTTAGCTGAAGCATGGCCTTCTCATAGTCCTCCCCATCTGCTTCTGTTGTAGCGTTTGTCCTACTGTGTGTAGTGGGTCTGGCTCTTCCATGAGACTGTAAGCACCTGTGGGGGAGGGCTGTGTTCTTTTCTTTGGGTTCTCAGTACACAGCTACATAAATATATGCTAAAGAGATTCTTGAGTGTGAGTAAAAGAATAGATGACTACATACCCTCTCTAAACTCACCTGAGAAATGTTCCTGACTTCATGTGTATGTTCCAGGGCTAGGTTTGAATGCTGCCTACCTTTGTGGAGCTCTCTCTAGCCCAGACAGCAGCCACCTTACCCTTTTCCTCACCTTTTACTCCACCTGGGGCTTAAAGATGAGATTGAGAGGGAAGATCAATGGCAATGGAAGGAGCCAGGGTTTTGGAGTCAGGTAGAGCTAAACTCTTTATTTAAGCTCTATTACTTTCTAGCTATGAGACTTTCTACAACTTGTAGTAGGCCTGAGTTTCCTGATCTGAAAAGCAGATAAATACTACATTGTCCCAGCTAAGATTCTGAGACAATATATATAAAACATATAACACAATGCCAGGAATGCATTAGGCTCTGAGGAAATGTTCCTTATCCTTCTCGTTTCATGTGTTTGTGTCTTATATGTGCAAATGTATTTGTGGCTGTATGTCTATGGATATTTTTATTTTGGTGTGTGTCTGGGATGCAACATGAAAGGAAAAATGAAAATGTGATTTGAGTCATCTCCCTGTATGTATAAATAGCATTACCTGGTCCTCATCTACCTCAGCACACAGGATCACATTAATATTAGTCTAAAAATACCACGAGTTCCAGCCCACGTGCACAATTCAAGATCTCAGGCTCTCAGGTATTTGAAGAGTCTTGAGACAGTTTGAGTTTAAAAAGAGAATGTCTCCATTGCTTACCAACCTGTGCATCTTATGGAGTCACTTGAAAGGATAACCTCCCTGCAGACAAGGATGGTGCCCTTACTCCAAGCCTATTTTACCCTACTTGGGGGCAAGGCTATGACATTGTCTCTTGGCACCCCCATAGTTACCAGTCCTCAGGGTGACAACAGCATACCCAGAAGTCTGTCCTGAGCCAAAATTATGCAGTGTTCTACTTTCAGAATCCTCCCCGCAACTTGGCCATGCCTCATTCACCCTGGTACTGTGCATGAGCACCACCAGTGCCTGCCCACCTGCCCCAGGCAATCTCAATGATGTGTACAAACTTTCTCCATACAGAAAACTGTATGAGTGGGGTTTGGGACAGAAGCCAGCAGGGAGGGAATTATACCTTCTTATGTCCATCTACAGGGACCTCTCTTGAGCACTAGAGAAGTTCTTCCTGGGGAGATGGAACTTGTCCCCTGCCCTTGCTCAGTACCCAAGATCTTTGCATTCACAGGGAGGCATCTGTCTCATCGCTGACAAACAAGAGGTATATCCTGAGGTTCCCAGCACTGGAGACACTAATGCTGGATGACAACAAACTCTCCAACCCCAACTGTTTTGCCAGCCTGGCCGGGCTCAGGAGGTAAAGCCACAAGCCTTCCTCTGCAGGGCTGTCCCTCTCTAACCCCAGCCACACTCACACCTTGAGTGCTGCTGTGCACACCAAAGGGTCTGGCCTTAAGTCCTAGTTCCATTACTTGTCTCTGCTATGTGGCTCTGGTAAGTCATTTCTCCCCTCTGAGCTCAGCTCATGAAAGTGGGCCAATTCAGGATATTTCTGATCATGTGATTGGATGAGATCTGACAGAGAGAAAGGAGGGTAGGAGATATTACTCAAGACAGCATCCTACACATGTGTAAATACCGAATAGTTTCTCTAGTGTGAGAAACTGAAAGTGTAAATAAGGACGGAAAGGTATAACAGATAATGTGAAATAGGAAAAAAAGGGGCAAAGGGGAAGGGGAAGTGGGAGGGGTAGGGGAAAGGAAAGAAGGGAATGGAATTAATAAGAGAAAATGGAAAAATGGAAACAAAGTCTTTGTAAATAGGGAGGGATGGAGGGGTTGAAGGGAGGCCAGGGGAAGGGGGAAAAAATAAGAACCAAGAGAGTATGTAAAGGTGCATATCTCCAATGATGAATGTCATTATATTGTACACCTAAAATGTACCAATAAAAGGATATACAAAAAAAAAAAAGACAGCATCCTGACTCTGAGAGAAATGACATGCCTTTTAAAAAATCAGAATCAGAATGATGTTTATTTGCTGAGTTCTACCTATTTGGTTAAAGTAAAGAAAATGCTGGCATTTAAATGGTTAAGTTTTAGATCCCTAGAAATTTGCTTGTGAATTCAGTAGCCATTTATGGAATACTATTTTGTGCCAAGTAATTTACAAGAATCTTAAAAGGTTAATAAATATTGTCTCCAGTAAGAGATAGGAATGTTGAGGCTCAGAGAGAGTAAGTTACTGCCTCAAGAGAAATGTTCAAGCCTGATTCCATGTTTTTTCCCTAAGTTGCTTGGTGAATATCCCTGAGATATCATCATTGCTATAATTCTGTATTTACTTTCCTTAATTGAAGACTGAAGAAGTTAAGCCTGGATCAAAACAGGATTTTCTGGATCCCGTACCTACAGCAGGTTCAGCTTCGTGATGGGTTGGGGGACTGGGTTAGAGGCAGGGCAAGTCCTCGGAAAGAGCCCCAGTCCATGCTGCAGCCCAGGTTGTGGATGTGTGAGGCCTCAGATGATCAGCCAAACTATACTGTTCTGCCCATGAAAAAGGATGTTGACCGGACAGGTGAGTGATGCCACTTGTTGCAGATAGATAGCCCCATGGTGAGAGTAAACTTTTGGGAGTTTATCCTGAAAGCCTATGGCTAGCCAGGCACCGCTACATTTATTTCTTTTTAAAATTAATTTTATTGGTACATTTCAGGTATACAATATAATGAGATTCATCACTAGAAATTTGCACCTTTACATAATCTCTCTTGGATCTTATTTTTTCCCCATTCCCCTGGCCTCCATTCAACCCCTCCATTCTTGCCTATTTACAAAGACTTTGTTTCCATTTTTTCATTTTCTCATATTAATTCCATTCCCTTCTTTCCTTTCCCCTACCCCTCCCACTTCCCCTTCTCCTTTGCCCCCTTTCTTCCTATTTCACATTATCTATTATACCATTTAGTCCTTATTTACACTTTCAGTTTCTCACCTAGAGAAACTATTTGGTATTTATGCATGTATGTCTTATTTATTTCACTTAACAGTATCACCTCGATGTGCATCCATTTAGCTATAAATGTCTCTAATTTCTCATTTTTTATGGCTGAGTAGCAATCCATTTTATAAAAAGAAAAACCCCACATTTTCTTTATCTAGTCTCCAGTTGATGGGCAATTGGGCAGCTTCCAACTTTTAGCTATTACAAATTGTGCTGCTTATGAACATGGGTGCACATATATCACTGTGGTATGATTCTTTTAATTGTTTGGGGAAGATACTCAGCAATGGAAAAGCTGGGTCGAATGAGACTTCCAGTCCTAGTTCTTTGAGGTATCTCCATACTGATTTCCATAGTGGTTGCACCAGTCTACACTCCCTCCAGCAGTAGAGCATTGTTCCTCTTTCCCCACAGCCCCACCAGCATTTGTTATTGGTTGATTTCGTGGTAGCAGCCATTCTTTCTGGGGTAAGGTGGAATCTCAGCATTATTTTCATTTGCATCTCTCGAATGACCTGTGATGTTGAACATTTTTTTATATGTTTACTTTCTATTTCTACTTCTTTGTCTGAGACATGTCTGCTCATTTCAGCTGCCCATTTTTGGATTGAGTCTTTAAATTTGGGAGGTCTCTGTGTTTTCTAATCCGGCTAAATTCAAATACAAGTTCTAGGGGCTCCTAGAGATTTCTTAGTATTTTCTCTGTAGATGATCATTTCATCT